CTCATCACTGAGTGTACTGAGGGGTTACATTCCATTTTGTTTGAGGAATCTTTTCTGGAGCAAAGTCTCAATTTCATTTCTGACTCATTTTAATTCTGTCAGTGAGGGTGATCATACAACACTACATTAAGCCTTTTCCATAGGTATCTGCATATTCATAAGTGAACCAGTTGAACTGTCTTTCACAAAAATATATAAATATTTTTAAATTTTATACTTCCAGAAGTACATGAAAGGTCTTCCTTGTACTCAGTATATTTGACATGATTACATATGCTTACTTAAAAATATGTTTACTTATTTGTTGTTATTATGTAGACTACTAAAAAAAAAGGAATGATTTTGGGCAGTATTTATAAAGTAAAATTCCTATGAAATATTGCATTTTAAGATTATTTGTGACATTGAATAATTATTTAAATTATTATTGAACATTATACTGACTCTCTTTTTCAAAATACTATTGCTGGATTCATTTAGTTGGATCCTAGTACTGTTTTTATCATTTTGTATGAAATATTTATGCAGTGATACCACAGTTCATGAACTTAATTCTTTCCATGTTTCTGGTTGCAAACCAAATTGGACAAGAACTGAATCAAATTTCCCCAAAATATCAGCATTGAACCTAACCATTGAATTTGATTCGATTTTTCTCCAATTGGGCTTGAGACCAGAATTGTGGAAAGAATTTAAGTTTGTGAAATGAGCTATCATTTATATAAAAATACTAACCTTTAGTTCCTAATATGTTGTTGATATTTTAATGTATTTAGCGGTATTTGGAGGTTTTATTAATGTTCATACTAAAACCAAATAATGCTATTTTAGATAGTTTATAAAGTTTGTAGTGTGGTAATTAAAATAATCTATGATCTCATTCACAAAAATTTAATCACACACTTGGAAAATATTAGTTAATTATCTTTGTAAGACAAAATTTGGTATGTCATCTAAATATTATTTGTGATGTGTGTATTGTGTAAAAGTTTTCATTGTTTTTGCTAATATTTTTAAACCCTAAATGAATATATTTATTATCTAAATGTAGATGTTATTTTGAAGAACTAATGAAAGTCATTTTCTTTATATATCTATCTAATAATTATCCTATTAGTATTGAGAGTACAGTTGCACCTGATGGACCACTGCCCTCCACTCACCTGAACCTGGGCAATGCCCAAACAAAGGCCAACCCCCGTCTTTGTCCTGAGGCCTGCCCCCTCGGAGGTAGAAATAAGACATGCACTCCAGACCTGCTGGCAGGATGTGCAATAACTTTTCTTCATTTGGAGCTGGTTGAAGGTTCATGCATATGGACTGCGTCTCAAACATCCAATTATGACTGAGTGAATTACAGAAAAAGACATACATCATAGATACAGCTGTCAAGATTCCGCACCCTGTCAACACCGTTGTCAATCACACTCTGAAAGAATTAATGGCAAAAGCTTTAGTCCAAGGGCAACATTTTAAATTCTTAAATCCAATCCTTTCAGTGCTCAGGACAGTTTCCTTTCCACAGGCACAAACCATTCATTCTGAGCATGCTATCCCCTCTTTAAAACTATGCTGCGTTTTCCTTCCCATCTCAAGCCACGTCCAATTCCTTGCTTTTGGAGCAGAAGAACTTGGAAACCTGTCCCATCATCCATTCTAACCCTACTATTCCGTTTTTTGTCTTCTCCCATTTTTTTTGTTTTAATACGTATTTTTAGATGATGCTAATAATCTTCTTTGCATGCAAATATTTGTGTTCATTTCTGATTCTTTCTCTCGGTGAAATTACTGAATTTATATGAAAGAATGCATAGCAAATACCTAGTCTGTTGTAATTGTGGAGCTGGTTTAGCAGTCCCTTCAAAGCTCTTGCCCCTGTTTCTTAAATTGGGGGCTGAAATCTGAAGGAGTGGCAGACAGAAAAGGAAGAAGGTGTGTAAAGAAGTGGGTGAGTGCAACAGTGAGTGGTAACCCATAAGTACGAGTCCGTGCATATACTCGAGCACATATATGCTTGTGCATATATGTTTCTGACTGAAACTTGACTGTTACGTGGAAAACCACTAGAGAAAATACAAATTCAACAAATGTAACAATAAAGATGCTTAATCCTTGCATATCATTTACTATATCTATACATGGTTCTAAGTGCTGAATATGTCATACAATTTCTGATCTCCACAATAGCCTTATTCCTTCTATCTACTAGTTTGTCACTCTTAGCTCTGTGTTTGTAGATGAGACATTTATCAAGCCCATCTCTAATTTTATAGAGATAATAATGTAGTACCTTTTAAATAAAATATTAGGAATAATAAAGTGTATATTCATTGCTGTGGAGAATATAAATGAATACCCACCCTTGCTAATCTAATTCCTCAAGTAGTTATGCAAGATTATTTTTTGCACATTCTTTATTTTCTACAGAGACCTTCATCTCATATATGCAAAAAAAATACTTACTGCTTCCCTTCCTGATCTATATCCCTTTTATTTCTTTTCCTGCTTTGTTACAGTAGTTATAAGTTCCAGCACTTTGCTGAATAAAACAGTTGAGAGTAGACCTCCTTATGTGGCCCTTATGATCAGAGAATACATACAGTCTTTTACCATTAAATATTGTTAGCTTGAGAATTATATGCATGTTTTCATATCAAATTAAGAAAGTTACTTGCTAAGTCTGTATATATGTATATGCAGGATAGTTAACACAGGTGTTCTACTGTCCTGTATTTCCTTGCTGAAAGAAACTGTCAGTGAGGCATTGGTTGATTAGCTTTATATGTCTATATGTGTTTTCATGAGAAACTACATTGAAGATATCAATATGTAATACAATAAGCATTGTTAATTCCCTACCACTCTGTTTGTAACTCCGTAACGTCTGTACTGATCCTTTGCTATTTTGTAAAACATTGTCCATCTGTTAGTATTTTCTTCCTTTTATTTCTAAAATAAAAAAAAAAGTTACTTTCTAGTTATATTTTTGAAAGTTTTCTCATGAGTTTGTGTTGAATTCATGGGACACTTTTTCTCTACCAGTTGTATGACTGAAGTAGGACAGACGAAACAAAAATTTTTCAGAGAGGATACAAGGGAGCTGTAATTAAAAATTATACTTTTGAAAATATTGTAACTTCTAGGATTCAGTCAGAGGCACCCAAGGCAGTCCATACCAAGCGTTCTGTTGGTTAAATTCTGGCCCACTTCTTTCCAGCCCATCACACACCCCCAGGCCCTCAGCAGTTTGCAAATCCATAAATAAGCTTACTTGAGAAAATAAAGAGTAGGAACCTGACCCTAATTTGAAGGAACAAGTTGAGAATATCCAGAGAATGTTTAAATTACCTGTCTTGTCTAGTGAAACTGTATATTATCTCTAAGATTTTATTGAAGAATTATTTTCTTATTCTCTTTAATGGCTTGAGCAGTCTTGCATTCTTAAATCTGATCATCTGAGCAATGTAGTTGAGGATAGCAGTATGCAACATAACAACCACTGTTGATTTGTATTAATTTGTCTTGAAACCCTGTATCACTCTGAATGATTTTGCTTTGATTTGTTTATGTTCGTGATACTAGTATGCTGCTACTGCTCTAATTCTTTGTTTATTTGTTTCTCATGTACTACTCTCTTTAAAATAAAAAAAAGAAAACAAAAAAAAAAAGAAAACTGGGCCTATACCCACAATATGAGCTAGTACCCTTCTGAAAGGTGGGACATCCTTTCCTAGGGTTTTCACTACCTCAAGAAAAATGTAAATGTTTCCCCTTTCAGGAAAGAATGTACCTTTTTTAAGAGAGAGCACAGACTCTTTCTGTGAGTGGATAACTTTTAATTTGTGCCAAATAAGTGCTTCCCAAGCCTCTCACATCATGAACATTTCTTATTCTGCCAAGCATTAGCGTTAGGGTTAGGATAAGGAAAAACTGGAAAAAAAAGGTTTGAGTAAAGAAATTTTAAAATAAATTTTTATTAAAAATAAAAATGCAGTGTGAGCCTACAACATTTAGGATGGTGTTATTCATGCCCTAGGCTATATGTTGCTTTAGATTTTTAAAATGAAACAGTTTTGGAAATGGATTCATGTCTAACTACGAATTTTGGTTATTGCTGTCAGAGTTTGTTAGTGCTGCCAGAATGATCACTTAATAGCTAAGTTGGAAGAGATAAAGTCTTTTCCATATCTCTCACTACTAATGTACACAACAAATTCCAAAGGAGAAGAATTCTAACCAAACCACAAAGTTGTCATAAAAATATAGGAGATTGGTTACACAGTAATTTTGAGGGGAAGGCTTTTTAATATAAGGCATAATATGGGTAACAATTTAAATTTGATTACACTTAAATTATATTTTTTATAGCATAAAAGGATAATAAAGTTAAAATATATTAGACTTTAAAAAATTTGTAACTCATGCAACAGAAAAAGAGATAACTATCAATAATATAAAAGTTACTCCAAATTAAAAAAGAAAAACATTCCAGAAGACATAAAGGAAGATATATGGGCATGAAATTCACAGGAGAAATGTAAATGTGTAGTCTTCACATGGAACTAGAAGCAGTCAGGAAAATGCAAGCTGAGACAGTGAAATATTATTTCTTTCCCACTCAACAAACTGTCCAAAATTATATAAATTACCATTGCATACTCTTAGGATTCAAGTAACAGGACCATCACACACTCGGCAGCTACGTGTCAATTTATGAGTAACTTCTGGCAGACAGCTTTCCATTTGTATAACTACTTCTAATAATTCATAATTTTAAATGAATACATATTCATTATTAAGAATCTACCATGTTTCACCATTGCACTTATAGACCTGTACAGAAAGATCATGTTATTGTTTAGATGAAAAATGTTCCCAAAAAGTATTGTGTTCGGCAGTGGGCCTGGTTGAGAGAGCTGTGTTAATATAGCAAAACTTGGAAGGGTGTATTCTATTCCTTAAATTCTCCCTTCTGTCTCTATGATTCCTGGTACTGTGAAGTGAGCAGCTGACTTCTACCGTGACCTTCTCCCGTGCTAATTCTGCTTCAGACCCAACAAACTATGAACTGCATCTTCTGAAAACGGTAAGCCAAAATTAACTTTTCTGCCATTAAGTTTTGATGTCAGGTATTTTGTCTGAACAATAAGTAACCAATATAGATTTTAGTGCTGAAAGTAGGGTTGCTGTTGTTTCTGTACCTTAGAATTCTTTTTGAAAAACATTGGAACTGGCTTGTTGAGCAATTTGGGGAGTTTGGGAGATGTATGCTACAGAATTTCTGGAATGCTGTGATACTGGTCAAAGCCTACCAAAATTCTGGTAAGAATGCAGGCAGTGAAGGCCAGGATCAGGAGGTTGCATTTAGGAACAAAGACTGTTGGAAACTGGACTAAAGGCCAAGTGTATTTCACTCTGTGAAAATGATTTCACTGATATTTTCTACATACAATGAGACTTTGCATGATACTGATGTTAAAGTCAGTGAACTAATATTCTGGTGGAGAAAATTTCATAGCAGCCTAGCATTTAGGTTGTAGCATGGGTACTGCTAGTTGTTTTTAGCCAGATCTATGATGAGAATCAGGAGAAAAGCATAGAGGTGAATGATTTGAAAAGTTTGCAATTTAAACAAAAAAGAAGAACCTGCAAATTTGGGGCCTAGGAGAACATGATTGCTGAAAAGCTCAAAATTAAAAAGAAGCCAAGAACACAATAGAAAATACAGTTTCAAAGCATCTCAGTAATTCTCCAGACTCTAACCTTCACAGACTAAACTTCTGAGAAAGGCCTTGCTTTGAGAAAAGAGACTCCAGGTGCTGGGCTCAAGAAGGACCCCTAGAGAGTTGGTTTGCAGGGGTCATTTTACTTTAATTAGATATCCAGGCAGACAGAGGCCACTGGAGCTTCAGTCTAAGGGAACCCAACTATTGCTCTAGAGAGCAGCAAACTTTGGAGTCATCCATGTGGTCCTAGTTTCACAGGCATAAAGAATACAAGAATGCCAGGGTCACAGTGGCTTCTATGTAGACGTCAGAAGATCTTAATGGTCAGGCATTGTGCCTTGACAGTGATGTAAGTGAAGATGTGAGAATGAAGCCAAAAGTGCAGTAGAAAGTCTAGGAATTTGGAGATCCCAGAAACACAGAATTTCCCAGGAAAACCACGGGCAGTGAGCAGAGCCGGCCAAAGCTAGAATCATGTGGACTGCAACAATCAAGGATATAAAGGTGGTGCAACCCATGTCCTTTAAAGCTCACATCTTACTAGCACTTTCCCCAGGTGCTGAACATAGATCTAGAAGATGTAATCTTTGCCTAGTTGAGTTTGGTCTTGCTATAATCTCATTTCTTTCTAACCTCCTACTCTTCCCTTTTGCAATGGGAATATTTACCCTGTGCCATTGTATGTTGGAAGAGTTTAACTTTCTATATTTTTCCAGGGACTCATAGCTAGGAGTTTGCTTTGAGTTTCAGAGGAGACTTTGGACATAGACTTCTATTCACTGCTGAATATTTTAGGGCTTTGATGACTCTTACAGATATACTAAATCCATTTCATTTATTGAGATGTCTTTTGGGGTCCAAGGTTGGAATGATACTTTAGATCTAAAATATCCATCAAAAATCTTGTGTTGAGAGATGGAGCTTTGTCCAAGGAGTCAGATCATCAGAAATGAGTATTTTTATTATCCAGTGTCTGGCTACCATAAACTGAGGCTCTGTCCCCTTCTATGCTCTTCTCCCATGCTGTATCTGCACAGGAATAAATCAACTATACACTTAATCCTTTAGGAAAACATGAACTAAAATAACCCTGTCTTTCTTTAAATTTCAGTGGGAGAGTAGCCATCACAGATAGTTATGATGATATTGCTTGTAACAATGAACAACTGAATAGTAATTCAATGTCCATCAATAAATCTTGGAGGAAAAATAAAATTAGTCAATACTAATAAATAGGTAGAACTGTGCACATTGCAATTGATAGATCTAAAAGCAGTGTTAAAACAATAACAGTAAGATAGAGAGAAATAAAGCTAAGAAAAACCTGTACAAAAGAAAGAGCAGTATGCATAGTATGTGGAGATAAATACACAAATTTCTACCATTTATAGAAAAATAAAATTGTTACTAAATTTTTTGCAGTAGTGGGCATTATACCTGGTTGTCCAAGAAAAAGCTACATCTTTAATCTCTTTTGAATTTTTATTTTGAGGCACAGTCTATATAATTTTCCCATGCTGTGCTTGAACTTGCAATCCTCTTTCATTGGCTCACTCAGTCTCCCTGAGGGGATGTCTGCCAGAAGTTCATTCCACTCTGCTTTGATCTGTCCAGGAGATGGAACGTAGAACTAAGCCAGTGTTCTTCATAGGTTGCTTCCATTTCCTTGCTAGGAAGTTCTTACTTAACATAGTGCAAAATCTTGTAGGCTAAAGTAGGGTTCAATCTTTTTCTCTCTGTAATATCCAAGTGCTACTGAATGTTGATCCAGTTTCAATCCTAGTATGATTCAAGGGGAGAAAATAAATTGAGAAAGCAGCAAGAAGTCTAGAGGTGAATAAATAAATTATAAATGATACCAGACAGCCTGAAATCGTATTTCTGCCTTCCTACATCAGCTGGCTGGCATTATATAATGAACTAACACAAAATATAATGATTTCAAATTATATTTATTCAGTTCAGGCTGTTATATTTATATTTACATCTGTGAGGCTATTTGTAGTTTATTTTGTTATATGTAAACCCAATTATGTATCTGTGATCAGTTGTGGATCATCTTAGCATCTCTGGTAATTTTGCCTGGGCTTGATTATACTTCTGACTTTTGTTGGGAGTGGTTCTCATGTCTGATAATTGGCTGATTCTAATTCTTGACAAGCTGGCAAGATGTGGCACCTGTCTTGCATCATTCAGTAACCTAGTCATATCTTGGATTCATAGCACAACAAGTGTCCTTCAGAGAAACCAATGTAAACAGGCTCTGAGGCTGAGGGTTGAGAGTTGCCTCCAGCTGCATACTGGCAAATACATTATATCTTGTAAGCAGCAGAGCCAAAGATAGTAAAGAGAGCTACTTCTTCATGAAAGGAACACAAAATCATATTAGATAGGGTTCACATCCAGGTGGGGATTGAACACAGGAAACACTTCTATAATCTACCTACAACATATTATCTAAACAAAATGGAAATTTTGTTCTTCCCTGAGATAAATACTACATAAAAAGCCTATTTAAGAGAAGCAGTTTATACTAGAAGGGACTAAAGACTACAAAGAGTGATTAAGAATAAAGAATAAAATTAAACTTAATGCTGTTTGTTTGTCTACTTTGTAGGAGGTAGTGTATATTCTTGGCATATTGGATTGAATAAATCTTAAGATTCACAGTGTACAGTCCCAAAGACAAGATACTTTAATATTGTCACTGTTTTTCAGATAAAGAAACTGAAGTAAGAGAGGTTTAATTACATTTCTCAATATCACATTGCTTGCTAGTCATTGTGAGCCATAATTCCAGTCCAAATCCAAAGTTCATGTTCTTTGACAGCAGCTGTCTTCTTGCTTGGTTAGGTAGTTCCTCTACAGTACGATGAGTTTTACAAGTCAGAACTTGCATCTGAGATTTAGCTCCTCTAGTACAATGGAACTCCTAGTTTACAAGTATGAGTATGTTTAAATGTCTTGTTATTAGAAGAGAAAAATCTCTTCATTAACTAAAATTTAAATAATAAATAGAAAAGCCTATGCAATGGCACTTTAAAGGATGTTTTTGGAATCAAGAAGCACACAATAATACTACTCCTCCCCCTCAGGATTACAGGGCCACCATCCATTAACTCCCCTGCAATTTCCAAGAATACAAATCAAAGTTGGGAACTCTGAATGGGGGACCATACAATCTTTTGCTTTAGTCTCATTGAATAATTCTATAACGCAGTAGCAAATAAAAACAGTTTCCATCCAGTAATCCTAACTGCAAAAAGGCAGATCTTTTGAACGTGTTCCCCAAGAGGATGAGGAAGCTGCAGGGAACCTGGGCTCCTCCAGATTTCCCTCCTTTTGTTCAGGAGGCAGAAACAAATCTTCCCCAAAGAACCTCTTAAATGAGAAACAATCACCAGAGGCTAAGCGAAACAACAGACAATTGAAACAAATTATGTATTCTTCCCTTAGATAAAAGATTTAAATTATAAATCTTTCAATGCTCCAAAGTGTGAAATAAATTGAAATGCAATTAGGTGTCAGAATTAATGACATTTCTAAACTATTTCTCCTACAATCTTTTGAAATGCTTTGAGGTTTTGGACACTTCATATTTATTTCAATCAAACTTATCTTGAGTTTTGTTTAATCAAAAAGGAGAAAGTGGATCTTGAGATCAGCTGCTCAGTGTTTACCTAAAAAAGCAAGTTCTTCGCTCTTGTTTTTCTTTCATGCTCCTCACTTTCTTTTAATTAGAACTTGGGTTAGCAACAGGCCGAACAGCATGCCTGGCTTTAAGTTATCAAGTCACTTCTATCTTCTGTGATTATGACTGTGGAAAATTTACTGAAACTGATAATTCTATTGAAATTCTTGCTGGAAGCTGGACAATGTTCAAAATTATGAATGCAGTCACCTACAAGCGCTGAAAAACTGCTGTTAATCAATTTTTTTCCATTTCAAAGAATAAAGGATATAGCCATGATTTGTTCTATTGCCACTTTGTGTTACTCTACACGCGTCTGTATGGCTGAAATGACTGGTTCACTGGCTTCCGGGACAGGGCCTAGAGTAGTGCATCAGGCATTTGCTTCCCAAGTCTTATTCAATAGGAATTCATGGTTTCCTAACTTCTACAGACACTGGATGAGTAAACACATTTCCTACCAATTAAGAGCCAAGTCAGGGGCTGGGGATTTAGCTCAGTGGCAAAAGCAACTGCCTGGCAAGTGCAAGGTCATGAGTTCGGTTCCCGGTACCGGAGAAAAAAACAAACAAACAAAAAAGAGCCAAGTGAAACAGATGACATAAAAAGATGAGTTTCTTCTTAAACAACTCAAGCTTTGTGTTTGTTTATTAATTTATTCTTTGGTTT